CTACCGTCGACTGTTCATATTCTTTAATATATTCAAACCACATAGTTTGCAGGATTCTAGAGTATAATGGCTGGCAGGAGGGATTGTAGCAATTTATATGTGGGGCCTCACACTAATCCTACACCTATCATATCTTTTCACAGTTTTGAGGGGCCTCAGCCTCAGGAAAGTGTTGCGGTTCTAATGGCATCCAGTAAGCTCTTGCTGGCCCTTGAAAATCCGGGGAGGAGGGTGTAAATCTTGAACCAGGCCACACCCATATCCGCAGCAGGTCTCCAAGGTGAACAGCCTCTGGCATGTTAGAACAATGTAGGTAAAGGATGTTAGCAAGTCAGATCTTTAATTTATGGAATTTATGGAATTTTTAACAGTGGTGTATATGAAAATATATGTTCGTTTTTCAAAGTCCCATATATTGTTGTTTTTTTTCATCATTATTTGTTTATCATGTCAGACAATACTAGTACTGTAAGGTGGGGATATATTTAAAGTGGGCAGATTAATACAATTCTTACCTGACCTCCCTTTGGAATCTAGGTAGTTCAGGTCAGCACCAAGGGACAGCAGAGTAGAGAGACAGTTGACATGTCCTTCCTGAAAATACAGATACAAAGTTTGTAAAACTTCCATAACCAACATTTATCTGCTATTTATCTGGTTTGCAGATCAATACATTAGGAGAAATCCAAGATAGCAACATCAGTTATTCATCATTAAATACACTAAACCTTATTACTTTGGTACAGAAGCTTCTACAAATAGGTATGCCTTTTAGAGGCAGAAGAAATGACCATTTCTCAGTTTTAATGTGGCAAAGCTGTTATTCTACTGGACGTTCAAACTAGATGAAAAGAATTACGAAACACATAGACAGTACCTCTGATTCTCTCCCTCCTCCCAGCCGTGAATGGAGTTGCAAGCTTTTTGAGAGGAGCAAATACAATTTTATGTTGTTGCCCGCTCCCACTTCCATAATCCCCGCCTAGGCGAGAATAACGTTGCTCATTCTGCTCCCCTCCCTGCCTGCAGCCTCCTGAGACACATCACACTTCCCAGGAAGCTGCAAGACCAGTTACAATCAACTCCCAAGAATAGCATAAAACAGAACTGAATAGAATAGAAAATAAAGGAATAGAATAAAAAATAGATTAGAACAGAAGATTAAAGAAGAGAATAGAATAAAATAGGAAGAATATAGCGGTTTTCCACATTTTGAATAGAACAGCTGTTCTGTACTATGAATTCAGATCAATTCAATATTTTTTTTATTCAAATTTGATTTGAATACTTCAAATCCACTGGAAATTCTAATTTCAAATAGAATAGAAAATAAATAGCAGTCTTCTGAAATTCAAATTTTGAAAAGAATAGAATAGACTAGATTAGAATAGAACAGCCGTTTTCAACCAGGGTGCCTAGAGGTCTCTTCAGGAGTGCCTTGGCAAAAATGTCCAATAATTGCCAAAAACTTGTATGCAAGCCAGTGGGTGGAACAAGCCTGCCTTTTAGTTACACAAAGCCACAGGTTTTCAATGTGCACCATTACGACTTTCTAGCCGCTGGCGTCTTGACAACCAATGACATCATCAGTTGATAGGGAGGATGCCTGCACATCATCCTTGTGTGAACCTCCCCTGCCCCTCTCCATCAGTGCTGGGGTCACATAAGCTCAGTGATGGAGAAGAGAAACACTGAAATACTAGTCAGTACCAGTGTGCAAAAGTGTATTTCCTTTGGAAGAATAAATTACCTCTAACGTTGGGTGTCCTACATGTGTGGTTGTTGCTGCATTATAAAAAAAAACTATTAGAATAGTTTTTTACATTTTAGAATGGGGTGCCTCAAGGCTGTACAAAATTTAAAAGGGTGCCTCGCGACTGTCCATGATTTTAGAGCGTGCATTGACTGAAAAAAGGTTGGGAAACACTGGAATAGAGTAGAAAAGAATAGAAAGAATATAGCCGTCTTCAAACATTTGAATAGAATAGAACCAGCCAAAAAATTTTAATCTAGTTGAAAACGAAACAAAACTAAACAAATTTTGTTATAAATGCAACAAAATGATATTCGTAATTTACGTAATGAATCGATTTGAAAGAAAACATTTTTTCATTCTGCACAACTATTTGTAACTGCTTACAAAAATAGAGTGTGCTGCTTTTTTTCTGCACCGCAAACGGGCAAAAATGCACATAAACACATGTAAACACACTGCAACACATTGCAGTGCACACAGAAGCCCAAGGAAAGGAAAAAGAAGGAAGTGACTTCACAGGACAAATAAAAGGTGCACAATAGATGTGTAGTTTCTAGTGTGAATGGGCCCTAAGTAAAAACAAAAAAGTTGATGTTTAATGCGTCCTATGTTCAGTGCTTACTTACCTGCCATATCCCATATGAAACATCTACTGGGATACTATATCACTTTCCTCTACATGGTTTGTTTGATATAAAAAAAAATTTTAAAATCTTTTCTTGTCACCAGAATCATGTATATTTACCGTGTGTGTGTATATATGTATGTATATATATATGTATGTATATATGTATGTATGTATGTATGTATGTATGTATGTATGTATATATATATATATATATATATATATATATAATATAAAAACTTTTTTTTTTTTAATTGCTCAATAAGAGTTAAATAAGCAGGCTGGAGTAAGAGAGGTAATAAAGAAATCTGCTCTGCTGAATAAGTGTGTCACCTGCTAGGCTGTGCAAAGTTCAAAAATATGTACAAATCACATGTGACTATAGAAAATTTACATTTTTTTGGCAGATACATCTGGACATATACATTATGGGAGAGATTTACTAAAACTGGAACATGCAAAATCTGGTGCAGATCTGCACAGAAATCAGCTTTACCCCTGGTCCACACTAGCCTGCATACTGTGGGCCGGTTGCAAATCTCATCGATTCCCGCACCTGTAACCATAGGCAGCTGCATCTCGTTTCTCTTGTGAGAAGCATGGGGGTGCCATTCGTTCTGAATGGCACCCCTGCGCATCTCATCCCGTAGAGCAGTGGTTCTCAACCTTTCTAATGCCGCGACCCCTTAATACAGTTCCTCATGTTGTGGTGACCCCCAACCATAAAATTATTTTCGTTGCTACTTCATAACTGTAATTTTGCTGTGGGAGGACTAGCGCCCCATCACTGATGTCAGTGGGATGAATAGTGTCCCATCGTTGGTATCGGAGGAATAGTGCCCCATCATTGGTGTCAGTGGGAGGAATAGTGTCCCCATCATTGGCATCAGTGGGAGGAATAGTGTCCCATCATTGGTATCAGTGGGAGGAATAGTGTCCCATCATTGGTATCAGTGGGAGGAATAGTGCCCCATCATTGGTATCAGTGGGAGGAATAGTGCCCCATCATTGGTATCAGTGGGAGGAATAGTACCACATCATTGGTATCAGTGGGAGGAATAGTGCCCCATCATTGGTATCAGTGGAAGGAATAGTGCCCCATCATTGGTGTCAGTGGGAGGAATAGTGCCCCATCATTGGTATCAGTGGGAGGAATAGTGCTCCATCATTGGTGTCAGTGGGAGGAGGAATAGTGCCCCATCATTGGTGTCAGTGGGAGGAATAGTGCCCCATCATTGGTGTCAGTGGGGGGAATAGTGCCCCATCATTGGTATCAGTGGGGGGAGGAATAGTGGGACAATCATTGGCATCAGTGGGAGGAATAGTGCCCAATCATTTGCGTCAGTGGGAGGAATAGTGCCCCATCATTGATGTCAGTGTGGTGGAGGGGGGAATAGTGCCCCATCATTGGGGTCAGGGGGGGAATAGTGACCCATCATTGGTGTCAGTGGGGGGGGGGGGGGGGGGGGGGGGGGGGGGGAAATAGTGTCCCATCGTTGGTGTCGGTGGGGGGAGGAATAGTGCCCCATTCTTGGTGTCAGTGTGGGGAGGAATAGTGCCCCATCGTTGGTGTCAGTGGGGGGAGGAATAGTGCCCCATCGTTGGTGTCAGTGGGGGGGAGAAATAGTGCCCCATTGTTGGTATTAGTGACACAAATGATGGGGGCACTATCCCTCCCACTGACACCAATGATACTTACCTTGCTGACCCCTGCTCCAGCCTGGGCTCGCTCTCTCCCTCTCCATCTACAGCCTGCATACCTGGCTGCAGCAGCAAAATTTGCACTTACCTGTCAGCTGTCTTCCTTCTCTGGCCTCTCTCTTCACTCGCTCCTGCAGCTCCCTCGATCTTCTTTGATCTACGCGCGCTGCCGCTCGGCTCCTCCTCTCCAAGCTCCACCTCCTCGCCGGTGATTGGCCGCCTGTGTGCCTCTCCTGAGCTACAGTTCCGGTGGCCAATCAGCGGCGAGGAGGCGGAGCTGTTGAGTGATCCCGGAGGTGTGGCCAGGTTACAGGGGCAGCATATCATCCCGCCCACAGATCACCTGAGACAGGAGCGGTGTCTTGGTTCCTAAGACCATCGGAAATATGTGTTTTCCGATGGTCTTAGGCGACCCCTGTGAAATGGTCGTTCGGGGTCGCGACCCCCAGGTTGAGAACCGCTGCCGTAGAGCAATCGTGGATGCAGGTATCGCATGGTCAACAAAAAAAAACCCTACATTTCCGTGTGGATGCGCTTTGGAAAAAGTGCATTTTCCTGGTATGGAACGCAGGCACAGCAGCCCATTCAAATCAATGGGCACCCGTGTCCGCACTTGGGTGAACCGGGCCTCCAGGTTTTATTGTCAAGGCCTAACTGAACAAGCTGAACTTAGAACCTGATTGGCTACCATGCACAGCTGCACCAGATTGGGAGTGCTCCAGTTTTAGTACCCCCCCCCCCATTTATTTTAAATATGTATTTACCCATTTGATGTGTGTTTTATTTTGAAATATAACTGGTAAGTAGACCTTCAATTTTTGTTTCCAAATTTTAGTTATGCCTTATTAAAGATAGAAGACTGTACACCTGACCTTAGCAGCATAGTGTAGTGGGCTCAGCTGGATTGACGTTGCTCTTTCATTTTACATTCACACCAAGACTAGACACCAGGTAACGGAGGGATTGGTCTTGTCCCGTAACTGCAGCTAGATGCAAGGCTTGGGCTCCCATCTTATCCATAGCTGTGAAGCAGACCTGGCATTACATATAAATCACAACACTGCAAATTACCTATATTTGCTCTACACAGCGTTGACATTGTACAATCACCAACATTTAGGAAAATGAAAGAAAGTTTTGGTAATGTCCAAAACTATTCTTGCTTTGATTTTCCCCAAAATTCATGTGAGAAATAAGCAGACTTAAATCCAACCTAGATCTAGTCAGTTTATTCATAGAAGATATATGCATGCAAGGAACCTAACTATAACCTTTTTTAAAATGTAAATTTTTGTATAAAAAGATAAATAATAAAAACAAAAACTATTTATACACCTTTTGCATAAAGATAGATGCCTGCTCACCAGCAATATGTAAAAGGCCTTCAAGTGTGAGGTCCCCTTGTTATGTATATGCCCACCAGTGTTGCCAACTATCAATATCTTTACTCTCAGCCATTAAAAAAAAAACGGCACTTTTCTCCTGCCAGTAAATATCAGTGACAGAAGAAGGTTGCCACTTACAAGTATGGCTGTGCCGCATTGCTCGGGACTGCACATGCACAGTTCTGGTCTGTATCTGTCCAAAACCATCCTAATGCCTTCTACAGTGTGTTCCCCCCCTCGCCCTCACCATCTGAGTGCCTGCTGCAGTGCCCCCCACCCCCACCCTGACCATCTGAGTACCTGCTACAGTATGTCCTCCCCAGCAGGAGGCGGGACTGGCATAGGAGGTGCCTGAGTGTCATGTGATATCATGGCGCAAGGGAGTCAAACAGAACAACCGGAGCCTCGTGTGTGGATAAGAGCAAGGCAAGCCAGGAGTGGGACTGTCAGTGCTGTTTGGACTGGAATGGACTGAAGGAACCACCTGGCATGGAGAAAGACGGTCACTGTGACTCAAGAGGGGATGTGTCATGTCGGTGAGGCGTCACCATCATCTGTGCTGATGAGGAGCCTTTGAGAAGGCTGACTGGGGCGTAATGTGTCAGATGGGCAGTGACCTCAACAAGCTTAGACGCCATTTTGGAAAGTCGAGTATGCCAATAGCCTGTTACGTGCCTCTTTACACTATTTAACATGTGAGTAGAATTGTAGCTTTCTTATGGAAATAAACTAGCGGTCTGCACTATTGGATGTCTCTTTGCTTCCTTTTCATATATACTATTCCTGGGAGATCGGTAATGACCAGGTAAATGCTGAAGAGGATCATGGTCTCAAATATAAAAGGTGTATGGGACTCTTACATTGGACTACACGTTTTTTTCTTTTTTACACTTTAACACCTTCCCTCCCGGCCTATAGCAGATTGACGGCCGGGCGGGGGACACTCCTCCTTGTGACTAGGCGTCATATGACGTCCAGTCAAAACGAGCCACTCACGCAGCCGTGGGGCACGCAGCAGCACAATTGGTCACCGGCTGTGTCCACGGGACACAGCCGATGACATATCATTACACCGGCCCATTGCCAGTGTCATGTGACCGCTGTGACTAATCAAAGCAGATCACATGTCAATTGTATACAATGGATGGCTCCCTGTCATGCCATACATTGTATACAATTATGTTGTTAGATGTGACTGGTCAAAGCAGTCACATTATACAGACAGGGCAATCACAGCCCATCTGTATCATGTGATCAGCTTTTCCCAATCACAGCTAATCGCAACAAAAGACTGAATGGATCAGTTTCATTCAGTAACAATGATTGCAAATATCAATGAAATACATTGGTATTAGCAATCATAATGTGTTAAAAAGAAAAAAAAAATCCTGATCACTTTCCCAGAGTAGTTCAATATTACTATGGTAACATTGTATTTCTTTGGTCACAGTGTGTTGACAAAAAAATAGTAAAGAAAGAAAAAAAAAGTAATAAAAACAAAATAGCAAAATGTGAAAAAAATACAAATTAAATTATTTTTTTTTTTTTTTACATACTGTCACCAGTCAGTGTCTTTGATCACCGCCACACCAGTTATATACCGTAATAACACTGTACTGGACTGGTGACGATATGTAAAAAAAAAAATGTAAAACAAAATTGTGGATTTTTCTTTTTTAACTTCTACATTTTCCAAGAGGTGATTGTAGCCGTATTAGTGCATTTGCGACAGCAACAATTGAGTACTGTCTGTGATACTTTTTTTATTTGCACTAACATACAATTTTGAGGACAAGCTTTCGGGGAATGTCCCCTTCCTCAGGTCTAAGCAGTACTGAAACAACAGTTTAGCAGAATGTTGGAAGAGATGTAGGGGATGGGAAAAAAAAAAAAAAAAACAGAGATAAGATACAGCAAAAGCAAAGTCTGGGGGGGGGGGGGATGACAACACTAGCAGAGCAGAGGCAGTCATGCTTGAGCTGACAGTCATAAAACTGTTGGATAATGACTGAGGAACCCCATGTCCAAATTCATCTCCTGTGCGAAATAGAACCATCATTCCCAGTTCAAACGTTTTTCCTTCCTGAATGGACCCGAAACCTCCTTTAAGAACTAAAACATTGAGGTCTTCCATAATGTGGTCTGGTTGTGCGAAATGGTGTCCCACAGGTGTGCAAAGGTCATCTTCCCTATGTTCCCTGATGTATGTCTGTGCAAATTCATCCCTGCCCGCAACCTCTGTCCTGTTTCGCCAACACAAGATCCTCCGCTACATTTTCTGCACTGGACAAGGCACACAACACCACCAGAGGTACAGCCGCATGAGCCGGAGATATTGAAGATCCCTTTTGAGTGTTTTGACACTTTTTGATGGATTGATTTGGTTGCACAGTTTGCAGCATTTCTTATTGCAGGGTTTGCTTCCATTATTTGTGACATCATAACCAGAAGGAAGTTTCCTACTGATTAGTTTATTTCTGAGGTTGGGGGGTTGTCTGAAAGCCAGTATTGGTGGTTGATGGAATATTTCTTTCAGAGTTCCATCCTCTGTTATGATGGGTTGTAAATCTTTGATTATTTTTCTTATTCCTTCTAGTGCTGGGTTGCATGCGGTTACCAGAGGCACACGGTTGCCTGTTTTCCTCTCCCCGTACTGAAGTAGATTTTCTCCTCGGGCTCCCAAGGCCGTGTCCATGCTGGTGCCGATAGCCCTGTCCCTGCAACCCTTCCCATGGAAGGCGTCTGCTAGTGTCCCGAGATGTCCATCTCTGCCTCCTGGACCAGAACACATTCGGTGGCATCCAATGGCTCGACATAAACAGTTTTATGACTGTCAGCTCAAGCATGACTGCTTCTGCTAGTGTTGTCTCCCCCCCCCCCCCGACTTTGCTTTTGCTGTATCTTATCTCTGTTTTGTTTTTGTTTTTTTCCCATCCCCTACATCTCTTCCAACGTTCTGCTAAATCTTTGTTTCAGTACTGCTTAGACCTGAAGAAGGGGACATTCCCCTAAAGCTTGTCCTCAAAATTGTATGTTAGTGCAAATAAAAACAGTATCACGGACAGTACTCAATTGTTACTACATTTTCCAAAAAATTGTAACAAAAAATTACAACCTCCAAAAAAATCACCATGCCTTTTACTAAATACCTTGTCTGTCCATTTAACAAAAATGGGTGATTTGGGGGGGTATCTGTACTATCCTGGCCTTTTCGGACCTCAAGAAATGAGATGGGCAGTCGGTACATCAGGATTGATCGATTGTCAGATATATATACACCTTGGTTTGTAGACTCTATAACTTTCCTACAGACTAAATAAATATACACTAATTTGGGGTATTTTCACCAAAGAAATGTAGCAGAATACATTTTGACCTAAATTTATGTAGAAATGTTATTTATTTGCAAAATTTGTTAACAGAAACAAAGAAAAATGCGTTTTTTTCCCCAAGTTTCAGGGTTATTTTGTTTTATTTAGCAAAAAATAAAAAAAAAAAAAATCAGTGGTGATTAAATACCACCAAAAGAAAGCTCTATTTGTGTAAAAAAAATCAAAGTTTCATATGGGTACAGTGTTGCATGACCAAGCAATTATCATTCAGAGTGCCACAGCACTGAAAACTGAAATTGACCTGGGCAGGAAGGGGGTAAAATGGCCCGGTATAGAAGTGGTTAAGCGTTGAAGCATACAGGCTTATAACTACATTGCAAAGGGTACAACATGCTGCTGGCCCTTTCATTATGGAGTTACCACCTGGTATTCCTCTTTTTCTGACAATAAAGAGGATCACTAGATCCCAATAAGATTGCAATAGAAAATGAGAGAGCTGCTAGAAGAATTAGATTAGATTATGAGAGCTCTAATTTTTTGAATAGTCATTCAATTCCTACCCTACAAAATGTTACCAATCAGATAACAAAAAACATTTGGTTCATTCAGCCATTGTAAAAAAAACAAAAAAAAAACAACAAACATTTGCACCTTTTCCACTGTATTCGCTTTTTATAGGCTACCTCTGTTATACAGTATATATTGTTTAATATGTTTAGTAAGCATCTATTCTAGACAGATTGCTGAAATAACCCCTTTAAAATACAACTCAAACTAAAGAGACCCTGGCACATTGCATGAAAAAAAGAAAATGATGAAAAGGAAAACACTACTAAGTAAGCATTTAATATATGTGATTTTGCTGTGCTTTTACCTGCAATTTTAAATTGTCAACAGTCTATTTAAGGGTAATGTTATTTGCCTAATAAGTGGTACCTTTTTTTTTTCTAAGAGGAGTTGGGCAATATGCAGATGGCCATTCTGGATAGCATCCATGAATGGGGTCACACCACAGCTGTCCTTGCAATCAGGGTTATAACCGCATCTGTAACAGATCAAAAGAAAAGCTCATATAAGTTCAGGTTTAGATATAACATCTCAAGTGCCTGCTACCTACCCCCCTAATGTATTCAATAAACACTACCACCCTTTCCCACACCTATCCACGTGCCTACTTACCTCTCTCTGACAGTGGTTGCTACCTGCAGTGTTTACAACCTCCATTCATAAATCATCTTGGCCACTGCCCACACCTTCATTGCAACTTCTCATAGGCTTGAGGAACTCTTACTGCATTAGTAAGGGTACAGCCTATAACGGTCTATAGAAAGTTTATGCACATACATGGCCAGCACAGAGAAGATCTCTAAATGGAGTATTTAAACACCATGGGAGGTGGTTTGTGTCAGAGAAAGGTAAGTGAACACACGGGTGGGGGTAGGGTTGGTTTATAGTAAATAAGGTAGGTAAGAAGTGGAGGCTGGGGACTTTTTATCTAAACCAGAACTGATCCCTTACATTTAAGCAATAACAGGTTTAAAATAGGTTTACTTTACATTAAACTACACGTGAAAGTCCACTCAAAAACTGCATGTTACTTATAGGTGACTTATGGTATGTAAACCCTTGAATTCTTCTTCCTGATGTCTATGTCTCCTGTAGACCTGACAGGCAGCCCAGTGGGCAACTCAACAAGCCTGCAAGGCAGGTTGATGACACTGCTGTTTAATCCAAGGCAGTGGGTTATAATGGTCAACCTACAAAAAGAAGTGCTGTAATAACAGGATCTGTAGGTAAGAAACATTGCAATAGATCAACCTTTCTCAGCCAGGGTGCCTTGAGGTTTCTTCAGGGGTGCCTTGGCAAAAGGTTTAAAACTACCTAAAACTTGTATGCAAGCCAGCAGGTGATCAAGCCTGCCTTTTTATTACACAAAGCCATAGGTTTTCATTGTGCACCGTTACGACCTTCTAGCTACCGGCGTCCTGACAACAAATGACATCATCAGTTGATAAGGAGGAGGTCAGCTTCCTGCACAGCATCCTAGTTTGACCCTCCCTGCCATTCTACATCAGTGCTGGGGTCACATTAGCTCAGTGATGGAGAAAAACTGCGGGAGAAGAGAAACACTGGAATACTACTTAGTGTGCAAAAGTGCATTTGCTTTGGAAGAATAAATCACCTGTAATTTTGGGTGTCCTACATTTGTGGATGTTGCTCCATTATATAAAACTATTAGAATAGTTTTTCACATTTTAGAATGCGGTGCCCTTTTAAACTTATGGACAGTCTGGAGGCACCCCATTTTAGAATGGGGTGCCTCGGGACTGTCCATAATTTTAAAGGGTGCCTCGGGACTGTCCATAATTTTAAAGGGTGCCTCGGGACTGTCCATAATTTTAAAGGGTGCCTCGGGACTGTCCATAATTTTAAAGGGTACCTTGGCTGAAAAAAAAGGTTTGAAAAACACTGCAATAGATGAAGAAAACGTATTTGGTAAAAAAAAGCATATACAGTGAAGTATGGTGTCAAACATACTGAAAATTAGATTTTTGGGCTTACATACATTTTAAATGATATATTTATTATTATTATTATTATTATACAGGATTTATATAGCGCCAACAGTTTGCTCAGCGCTTTACAATATATCGGGAGACAATACAGCAACAATGCAGTTCAATACAAGAGGGTTAGGAGGGCCTGATCCTGGGAGCTTACAATCTAAGAGTATATTTAAATGAATGATTTTAATAATAATTAAGTAGAGAAAATGTAAAGCTAAACTCTGCAATGCTCACCTCTCTGCCAGCGATTTGATGTCTGCAAGCTTCAGCTCCAGTGCTGACATCTTCATTTGGTTTTCTTCCAGGTTTGGCATCATCAGCCATCTTGACTGGCCAGCCCGGAATGACATAACTCCCATGAATGTGCATGGTTGTCAATTTGCCCTGACACTAAGGCATGCCAATATTGTACACATGCGCAGCTCTATGGATAGCCAGGGGAGGCTGCAGTATATCCTCCAATCTGAAGGTGGCACTGTGCCATTTCTTCAGTCTGAAAGGAGCCTACTATAATTGTCTTCTGCTATGAGCTCCAAACAGCCATCTTGGGAAGGATAGCAACTCTATTAGATGACAAAGTCCTGTGATATTTGGGCAGCCATCTTGAAAAAGCATTCTATAACTACTAAGATCCTGCATCATTCCTTGTGCCCGCAGTGTGGGAGAAAGATAGAGAGTGAGAGCACAATTAGGGAGAGGTACCTGTTGAGGAAGGCAAGATTAGGTTTCCCTTTGCAGGGTGTCTCCTCTATCAGCTTCCAGGAGTCTCCCACTTGCAGCCAGATATCCATAGGGACATTGGAGGATCACAGTGTGAACAAGCCATAACCTCCTCCTATGGAAGTGTTTCTCCATCATTCTGTGGTATGTGAATGGCTGCTATTGCTTAATATTACTATTGGAAAGTGCCTTGTGGATAAACAGTGCCCTCTTGTGCCTGGAGAAGTGTATGACCTGCAACATATGTGGTGCCATTATTTCTGTAAACAGTTAATTTCTACAATGTAGACAAAATTTAAGTATTCAGGCCTGGTTAGGCCTACCTACAAGTGCAATAGAAGTAATGATAATCAGCGCAAATACTGAACCAAAGTCCGAAAAGTCTAGTAGTATTTAGAAATAGTCTGGGTGACTTGGATAAGGGGGGGTCCGTGTGGCACTAAGGGCAAGCTCCATGCAGTACTGTAGCAGACTCTGTGTAGTGAGGAGAGAAGGAGAAGCGCATCTAAGTACAGCAGACCACTTTAATATATAATAAAAAGTAGGAACACTCACATGGTAGTAGAGTGATAAAAGCATGTAGGGTATTGTGGTGTAGAAACACCATGTGGAACGGCTGTCACTGGTGCCTATATCATCCGCATCTCAATGGTAGGAAGCGTGGTTCAGGAGGGGAATCCCCTGCTTGAGAAAGAAGCGCGCTTTTGCCACTAGAAGCCAGCTCATGCTCCAAAATGCGTCGCATTGCATCTTGATCACTGACGACATCACGCCTATGCCGACATTGCGGTTCAGCGTGCGTTCCAGCTGCCATCTTTAGGAGTACATGCATACCAGCCGGCTCCACATCGGCCTACCTCCTGAACCACACTCCCTACCATTGAGACGTGGACGATACAGGCACCAGTGACAGCCGTTCCACATGGTGTTTCTACACCACAATACCCTACATGCTTTTATTACTCTACTACCATGTGAGTGTTCCTACTTTTTATTATATATTAAAGTGGTCTGTTGCACTTAGAGGTGCTTCTTCTTCTCTCCTTACTACCTACAAGTGCACATTCAAAGAAGTTTGCGAACAGGAATGTAAGAAACTTATTGTAGAAAAGACAGTATTTCTCTTTTATTTATTACAGGTACTTGTATAGCGCCGTCAATTTATGTAGCTCTTTACATATATACTGACAATCACATCAGTCCCTAACCCTCAAGGGGTGTACAGTCTAAGGACTCTAACTCACATCCATGCATACACAAACCAGGGCAAAATATAGACAGGAGCCAATTAACCTTCTGCAATAAAAAAAAAAAAAAAAAAATCATCCTGTTCATAATTTTTTATACTTTAGGGAACAATTTGCTTAAAAGGGTTAGTTCACATTCACATCACCTTTCCAAATTCCTATATATTTCAGCTTCACTACTATATTAAAATAACAGTCATCAGGTTTTAAAAAAGTTGCTCTTTCAAAACCTGCACATGTGCAGCGCTCTCTGTTGCAGCAGTATCTAAGAGAGATAGCGCAATCTGCACATGCACAGGGTTTAGGTGAGCCAGAGCGCTCATTCCTGCGCTGATGCGGCCAGGTGTTCAATGGCCAGCAGGGGTAGGTTGCTCACTCTAGAGGTTTTGTGGACCTGTGTAACTGTAAACTGGTAACCTGTAAACGCTTCTAAAGCGTCACCTATGGATATTTTCAGGTACTGTAGTTTGGCACCATTCCACTGGCATACGCAATTTTAAAGCGCGACAGGTTTTGTCAGGAATGGACTCACCACTGGTGGTGCTGTGGCTCACTTGCTCTGTGGGCTGCAGTACCAGCTCCTACCAGAGGGTGCTTTCAGCAGCCAGGGTCTCACTCCTGCAATCAAGCCATCACCTGAGGCTGACTGCAGGAGGTCTATTTAAGCAGGACCAGACCTGCAATCAGTGCCTTGGTGTTTGTTTCCCATGAGCCCCTGTACCTGGTATCCTGTGTTCCTGCATATCTGCCCATCTGATTTGTTGCTGACCCTGCTTTGATCCGGACCTCTGCTGACTTCTCCTGCCCTGATCCCTGGCCTGTCTGACTTCTCTTTGGATACCCTCATTGGATCTGATCTCCTGTTACTGACCCGGCGAGTGACCCGACTATTCTGTGCCTGCTGCCTTGTACCGCGCTGTCCCCACCGTTACCGACCTGGCCTGTCTCTGACTACTCTTCTGCTCAGCCATCCATCCGTCCTGCACGGACCCATCCGCCTCTTCACGTCAGGCTCTCCTCCAGAATATACCTCTAGCAGATCCCTCTACCACGGGTGGGTGTACTCAGGGGCCGCGACCTGGTCTCTGTCTGCTCCAAGTCCATCCCCACCATCAGGGGCGCTGGTGAACAAGCAAACTGAGACTTAGACTCCGCACTCTGGGGAATCCTATTCCGTGGGTTGCTAGAGGTACCGCCAGGCGGTGCATTACAGACCCATACGGCCTGCCTGACCATTCCACCTCTCCAGCCCTGACTACGCCTGTGTTCCCACACATTTCTGGTCATACCCGGATCCCTGACAGATTTGGTATCTATTTATTTAGCACAACATCATCTTTTGCACTAAAATTCATTAAAGTGTATTTTTTCCAAAAAAATCTGCATTTGAAAAAGCACTGCACAAATATCACATGAAATAAAATATGCAACACCCACTGTAAACTATTGTGACACTTCTAATATTTTAGTATCCTTTTTAGGCGGTTATGTAAATTGTTCAAGTGCCAGGCTGATTTAAAACAAAGTGTGACTTTTATTTAGACCACACTTGGCAACAACCTAAAATGGATACAAAAGATAAGATCGCAGTTTAGTGTCGTAAAAACAAAAATATAAGAAATAAAAGCAGTACCTATAGAAATGTAGTAAGCTTTAGAAAAATATTGAACTTCTTGCCTGCTGTATTGCAAAGTAGTAAAATTAGATATCTTTCTAGGCTAAGACAGAAAAGGTAACAGCTGTTGTCAGTTTTATGAATGTCTGTGTCAGACTGTCACGTGAATCTGTTCTTATATACTTTTCAAAGAATCAATGCAGACATCCCACTATATAGTTATTTCCTAATTCAGTCTGAGCCAAAAGCATAATAGCCACATTAGTAAGTGTTCTAAACATATGTATGGTTCTTAGCGGACGTTATCCAAAAAATACTTTGATTGACAGAAACATATATTACTGCTATATTAGACTGCTATATGATCTTTCCATACTAAAGGATCACATAACTACATTCTTCTTAAAACTGGTTCAACCTTCAGTTAAGGACAGAAAACACATAAATGTACAGAAATAATCAACTAGAAGAATCCTTTCACACGGGTGTTCTGTTTTCCAAGAAAAAAACGGATCAGTTCACATCAGTTTTTCATCAGTTCACATCCGGTTTTTTACATTCTTTATCAATGCAAAAATGGATTGTATGTCTGTTTACATCCGTTTAGGGTTTTTTTTACGGGTTTTCTTCCGTGCAAAAAAATTGATGTTAACAGATGCGGACATTAAAACGGATGTAAACAGTAGTGGTGCACGGAATGGAAAATTCTGGTGCCGAAACCGAAAATTCAGGATACACTTGGCAGGAAACCGAAACCGTCATGGGACGGTTTTTAAAAATTAACATATATTTAAAAAAAAAAAAAAAATACTTTAATGATTTTTTTTAAAAAAACAGTTTACATATGTGGGCGTGGCCTACATATGCGTTCACCACTATGTGCGACCACGGGTGGGAGGGGGGCACTTTAAACTTTTTTTTTTAATTTTTTTCTTTACACGTCCCTTTAAAAAGAATTTTTAATCACTTTTTTTGCTATCACAAGGAATGCATGCATCCCCTGTGATAAAAATAATTAATCAATAAGACCCCATATTTCTCTTCTACAATGTAAAGCATTAGATCAAAAAAAGCATTGATCTAGTGCTTTAAAGAAAAACATTAAAATGGCCTTGTTTACAGGGCACCGGAACCGAAAGTGACATCGCTCCGGCTCTCAAAAGGGCATAGAGATGAGTGGAGGCCATCTTTCCTTCACTTATCTCTATGCCCAATGCCGGGATCGTTCGGTGGTCTCTCAGGTAAGGTTGAGAACTACTGAGCATAGGCGGGAGGCGGCGGCGGCAGCAGCAGCGTTATTTTCGGCATCTATAGCGGTGCTTATATGGGTGTTTTCGGCCACCGAAATTTCAGTGCACCACTAATAAATAGATGATCCGTTTACATCAGCTAGTCCAGCGGACAGATGAAAAAATGGACATACGGAACGCCTATGTGAAAGAGGCCTAATTGAAAATATACTATCACACTATTCCTAACAAATTAATTAACTAACTATATTAAATAACAGACTAACGGCATTTAGATTACAAATGATTCTCATGATAAAAGATATTTTCTTATCGCTTGTTTAACTCTTTACTGCATTCCAGTGTATATTTTAGTCTGGGAAGCAACTGACCTACTGACCTCTCTACAGAAGTTTCTGGCACACTTGAACCCCTGCTTACAGAGCCCATTTACACGGTTCATTTTAAACTGACTTACACGGAGTTTCAAAATACAGACTTTGGAGAATCAGAATTATTATAGAACACAGACGTCTGTTATAAGCTAAATTAATTAATAATTCTTCAACCACAATTTTATTCTCTAGGGCCTATGCTTAAAAAAAAATATATATAATATTTGGGAATTTTAATTAGTTTTCTATGAAAAAAAATGTTTTTTTACATGTAGGAGAGGAATGTTAGAATTGGCCCGGACTGAAAGTAATTAACCACCTCCCGTCCGGCCGTTGTATATAAACGGCTGGACGGTGGCAGTGCAGGGTCGGGTGGCCGTTTATAAACGGCCTCCCCGCACTCTGCTTGTGCGCACTCCCTGGGAGTGTGCAGCACCGCGATCCGTTGCCCACTGTGTCCTCCGGACACAGTGAAACACTGATCGTCGGAGGTCCCGATCATGTGATCACTGATTGGCAAAGTCAGTGATCACATGCAAAGTAGTAAGCAAGATGTCACTTGTGACATCATTGCTTACTACGTGTGAAATCTGTGAATGATCACAGAGGTCACATGGTACAAGGCTATTCACAACAGCCTTGTACCATGTGACAAGCTGTTACCAATCACAGCTCACTCAGTACTTGTCAATAGCTGCAAGAATGCAGACAGAGAGAAAGAGAAATTATTGCTTTTACATCCTATATGGGTGTAAAAGCAATCAGTGTAAAAAAAAAAAAATCTTCATCACCCCCCACAAGTAGTACTAGTACTGCTAGGGTGACAGTATGTAAAAAAAATAAATAAATCAATAATAATATAAAAAAAAAAATAAAATAAAAATGTTAAATTTTTTTTAAAAAATTATAATAATTTTTGGTTATAAACTAATTTGGCTTATTTTGTTTTTTACCGAAAAGATAACGGAATAGATTTTGGCCAAGATTATGAAATATTATTTATTTGCAAAATTTTATAAGAAAAACACTTTTTTTCAAAATGTTTGGACTTTTTCATTTACATAGCAAAAAAAAAATAAAAAAAAAAAAAATCGCAGCAGTGAATAAATACCACCAAAATAAAGTTTTATCTGTCTCAAAAAAATGGTAAAAAATTCATATGGGTACAGTGTTGCATGACCGCGCAATTGTCATTCAAAGTGTGATAGCGCTGAAAATTGCCCTGGACAGGAAGGGGGTAAAAGTGTCTGGACAGGAAGTGATTAACTCTTTTTATGTTTTGAAGTCATTCACCAACTTTTTTAGCATAACCGTAGACTCTGACACCGTTTTTCGGTTTGCAGTCTCTGACAACTTGTTGTCACATTACATTCACTGAACATTATGTACAGCGTTTGGGTGATGTCAGGAGCCGCACTGCACCACCATTACTCTAGGCCTTGGGAGCTAGAAATAAAAAGTCCCCTGAAGTCCAATACAACTGAACATTTGGAATACAATATGTGTTAATACTTGGCTCTCTGCTTTGTGCTTAAAGAAGAACTCCTTTTTAGAAAGTGCTCACTCCTCATCCTCCTCCTCATACCCGTTTTTTTTCCTCTGTGCCTTGAATACATGGACACATTTTTTCCTAATGTCTTCTGGTATTCTCCCTTTCTCCCTACAGCAGTAGTGGGCAGTTTCCAAAACTGCAGAAAACAGCGTTGACCTTAGAGAATTGGTGCAGCTCTCTGCAGTATTGTATTGAGAGCCTGTCAGGAATGGACTCGCCAATGGTAATGGGACTCACCTGCCTTGTGGGCTGTAGTACCAAGGCTGGCCAGCGGGTGCTCTCAGCAGCCAGAATCTCACTCCTGCAATCAGGCCATCACCTGAGGCTGATTGCAGGAGGTGTATTTAAGCAGGACCAGGCCTGTGATCAGTGCCTTGGTGTATGTTTCCCATAAGCCCCTGTACCTGCATCCTGTCTGCTTCCTTCCTGATCCTGCCTCTGAACAAACTCTGTCTGTCCTGACCTCGGCTATTCCTGACCACTCTTCCGCTCGCTCCTGGTACCCTGTTTGCCCGTTAGTTACCAACCCAGCCCGCCTGACTACGTTGTGCTCCATATACACATATATATATATATATATATATATATATATATATATATATATATATATATCAGTTTAGGTTTGGGTTTGTTTCACCTTGTTGTATGTATTTGTGTTAGTTTTGGGTTTGGTTTGTTGCACTGCGTTTATGTTTGTGTTGTCCTTAATAAATTATCTTGTTTACAAGCTATACCTGAAGTCTGTGTTTCCCTGTGTCGGTCCACGCACCTCTGGTCATTCCCGGAGCCCTGACAGAGCCCAGGCTGATATAACCAATGACCTAGGCTCACAGAAAGTGGATGAAATGGTGATAGCCACCATTCAAACCCCAAAGAGGACCTGACATGGGTCAGCATTTCTGAGGAGGACTACTTTAATTTGCTACTTGGCCTTGGAAGAAAGAATGCAGTATCAGTTTCAGCTCAGGCAGTTGACAGAACAGGGAGTGTCAAACCTCAAAATACACTCTTACATCTGACTCTAAGCTCTAAGTCATCCTCATAAAAAGTAAAGCTCAATAAGGGGCAAAAATAAATCCTTCCTAATTTGAGGGTATTTATTCAGATTTGTACACAAGCCAACACAGCCATTGTTTAAATTGAAACATATTCTAAAACAATTTAAATTGATTTAATATTGTGTGATATTAATGTACAAAATTACCTCTCTAGAAGGATCTTCACCACATCAAAGCAGCCATGCATTGCTAAATTAAAAAAAAAAAAAAGAGAACAGTATTCACATACAAAAGTATTATGTGTGTCTAAGTGCCTGTGTGTATGTATGGATGTATATTGCTTGAGAAAGGTGGGCTGTTGTACAATAAAAACTTTTTTCAGCTTTCCTTTTGTTAACCACTTGCCCTCCAGATGATTTACCCCACATCCTAACCAGGCCATTTTTTACGATGCGGTGCTTTATTTTAACTGACAATTGCGCAGTCATGCAACGCTGCACCCAAATTAAATTTACATCCTTCTTTTCTGCATAAAGAGCTTTCTTTTAGTGGTATTTGATCACCTCTGCATGTTTTATTTTTGTGCTATAAACAAAAAAAGACCGACAATTTTGAAAAATTAAAAAAAAAAACAAACTATATTTTTGACTTTTTGCTATTAAACATGTACAGTAAAAAATTTAAATAATCAAATTTCGTCATAAAATTTAGGCCAAAATGTATTCTGCTACATGACTTTGCTAAAAAAAAAAATCCCAATATGTGTAAATGAATTGGTTTACGTGAAAAAGTTGTAGCGTCTACAAATGGCAGTATATATACTGGAATTTATTTTTTTTTTACTAGTAATGGCGGCAATCAGCGACTTATAGTGGGACTACAGAGGGCATTCTGACACTGGGGGGGACTGACTTTGTGTCACTGACATCCCCAGTGACACCAATACAGTGATCAGTGCTAATAAAAAGCACTGACACTGTACTGGGCAGGAAGGGGTTTTGTAGGGCAATCAAAGGGTTAACTGTGTGCTGTTTCAGTATGTGTGCTGTGTGTGTGTTTCACTGTAAGCACACTGCTTTGTATGGCTCTTCTATGCAGAGCCATACAAAGCAGTGTGCAAGAGCTGACAGGGGAGAGATCTGTTTTGTTTACATACAGGTTTCTCCCGTCGGAAATCCTTGGAGATCGCCGGGTACTGGGACCCAGTGATTGACAGCTGAGGCCACAAATGGCGGCGCGGGTAGGGCGCACGCGCCCCCTACCTAGAGCTGCAAAATCACGTATATATACACATGATTTTGTGCACCCGTGCAGCCGTATTTCTGCTATAGGGCAGCGCGGAAGCAGTTAATTAATATTTCTAGGCATGGGTATTTTATACATAGTTATATTGATCTAGTTTGGACCAATGTACCTTTGTATACACCATATCTGGCCAATGCCCCCGGAGGCTGGAAATCCCTGAAGTAAACACCACAACTCCAGTGATCTCCACTTGTTTCCTAGTCTTGTGCAGGGCGGCTGCCCTGCTGCATTGTGAACACAGAAAGTCAGGCACTTAGTATGTGTGCATGCAGAGAATGCTTTGCCTTTTTGTTAATGAATGCAGAGCGTTCTCTGATTGGACGAGGTGGAAAGGCAGGGCAGTGACAACTTGAAGGACGATAAAAGGAAAGGTGAACAAAACAAAAGTAATTTGAGTACATGTTTAGCTCCCTGGGTCATGTAGTTCTCAAACCAAAACCATAAAACAAAACAGCGCACTGGCCTAGTGCTTTATCCTCAAGATATATTTTTATTGATGAAACGGTGGTAAGTATTATACTCACAAACCGGCAGATGTCACAATAAAACAGCAACTTCCAGTCCACCGTTGATCACATCACTTAATGTAGAACTATAGGCAAAACCTTTTTTTATTTTGGATAGAACAAGGGAGGGTTATAACCCCTGTCAGATTTTTTTCACCATCTGTGTCCCATTGCGGATATTTTCCCTTCATTTCCTGTCTGTCCCTTACAGAAAGTGAGAGAAAACCTCTGCAAATTAAGGGAATTCCCTGGGGACCCCCAGGTCACCAGAACCAGTATCCCCATTAGATAGAGTTCCCCTGTATTACTTTTCTGGGGACAACTCAAAATTTGGGATTTTCTTTTTACCTTTATCATTGAAAGTAACAGGACAAATAGAGGGTGAATCTCCTTAATGGGAACAGAGACAGCAATAAACACTGACAAGTGTTCTAATCCCTCTCCAATCTATCCATTAACAAAAAAAAAAAAAAAAAAACGTTTTGCCTTTAGTTGCATTTTAATGCGTTTCAGGACTTGCATCTTTTTCAGGTTGGCTCTGAAGAAGAGACATGTCTTCGAAACGCGTTAGTCTGCTGGATTTCCATATGTCCCATTAAGTGATGTGACTCTTAGATTGTAAGCTCCTAGGAGCAGGGCCCTCCTATCCCTCTTGTATTGAACTGTATTGTTACTGTATTGTCTCCCTTTATATTGTAAAGCACTGAGCAAACTGTTGGCGCTATATAAATCCTGTATAATAATAATAATAATAATAATAATAATAATATACTGTGGACTAGAAGTTACTGTTTTATTGTGACAAGCTTTTATGCATCTGCCGGAATGTGAATACTTACCACCATTCTATCAATAAAAATATATCTGGAGGATAATGCACTAGGCCAGTGCGCCCTGTTTTATTTTATGGGTTTAGTGTATCCAGACTTCGCCAGTCTTGAGATGCCAGCAAGGCGAAGCATACCCATTCAAGTCAAGATGAGAAGATAGACTCGTGAGATCACCAGGGCCCACTTCTAAAGCACATTTTGCTATTCGGTTGGAGTTCTCGAACGAACATGGCTGGAAATAGAGCTACTGGCTTGTTTTGAAATATTCGAGTACTAGGAAAAGGCTGCAAGACATAAAGTGAGTTCAGTACCTGCTGTGTGTAATGGCGTTCTCTTTATCTTACTCTCAGTGTTCCAGATATCAGTAAAGACATCAAGAAGATATTCAATAATTGCTGGGTCTCCTTCCCTTGCTGCAATATGGAAACAGTTCCAGCCATCCTTATTTTTCAGCATGGGGTTGGCTTTGTGCTCAATCAGATCCTTGATGATATCTAGGTCTTTCCTGGTACAAGCCATCATCAGAGGTGTCCTAAATTGAAATGATATTGCACAGTCAAGATGCAGTTAATCAAATGAACATCAGAGCAGCCATGATTATATTTATCAGAATGATTTCAAGGATAAGGCCCTAGGGCAGCAGATAACTAAAAGACAGGAATCACCAAAATAAGTGAAAATTGTTTTCATATACATAGGCTATGGTCATACTTTGTGTGTCGGGAACGCATATATAATTGTGTGCATTCCCGACACGCACAGAAACACGCTGCCTTGTAGCAGACATTAATTCTTAACAACAGCTTGATGCCTGTGCCAACGCATGTATTCTCATGTGCTCCACAACGCATGGTTCCGAAACCACCATGCACTTCGGTGTGGTGTGATTTTGTAAAAGGGTCAGAGATTTCTTTTGTGCATTGCATGTAAGGCAGCCCATTGAAATGAATAGGCTGCCCTACATGTGATGCACAGGGAAACTGCAGAAAATGTGCGTGCCCCATCACACCGGCATCAAGGGAGCCTTACTATAATTTTCCTCTCCTGGTTCCTTCAGCACACCATGGGTCATCTCCGTCCCTCAATCTTTAGAGGACAACCCCTGTTTAGACCAATAAATTGATGAAGCCGCCACTAGCAAGTGTTTCACAACTAAACCATGCAATAGAAAGGTTTTATTGCAGATATGAGGCAGAACTAGAAATGGAAAATTACAGGAAGTATAGGAAAACAATGTTCCATTTTCCTGGCTCTGCGTCATGTCAACACACTACAGGACTTAAAGAGGAATTCTGGCCCCCCCTTCCAAAACTTAAAAGTCAGCAGCTACAAATACTGTAGCTGCACAAGAAAGAAAAAGATTGTCTAGTTCAGACAATCCCTGATACCCAGAGGAAGATTGTAAAGCTGTATATCAAAACGCGTTGGGGAGTTTTCATAGAGGCGAAAATATTATATATTAAATTCTTTTGTAAAACTGTTATATGTTTTTTGCCGAACAGGGTGTCTCTGCAATAATGGGATCTTTTATGTACCGGAGCTCATATTTTAAGTATTTTCTATGATTGGTGTACAAATAAAGATGTCATTTCTTTTAATACTATTTTGTGATTTTTTTTTCTTAAATACTTATGCTGCAGTAGAAAGTCCAAGGGGGATTTTTTTCATGTGAAACATATTAGGACGTGCAGCGCTTTAGTTGTTATGCGATTCCTTTTTCTAAATACTGTAGCTGCTGACTTTTAATATTAGGACACTTACCTGTCCAGAGATCCAGCCTTGTCCTCACCCCATCTTGACTAAGGGAAACCAGCAGTGAAGCCTTGCGGCTTCACAGCCGGGTTCCTATTGCGCATGCGGGAATCGCGCTGCCCTTTGTGAATGGGCCGCAGTCCTCTGGGACCTGTGAAATGTCCCAGAGAGCTGTGGGGGAAAGTAGGGGGGCACCTTTTTTTTTGGGGGGGGGGGGGGGTAATCTCCGTCTCAGTTCGCCGTGGCAAGCTAAGCCGGACGTGAAAGCGGGTATTTGTCAAATGCAGGTACCCACCCCCCCAAAAGGTGCCAAATGTGGCAGCAGAGTGGGGGAGGAGGCAGATAAGCTTTAATTTGTGGGTGGAACCCTGCTTTAAAGCAGAACTAAAACCACAAATACTCACCTAAATAATGATCTGAAGCCTGTGAGGTTTCTCACCGACATCCTCCCCCTGGCTTCTTCTGGTTGTCAGATCATCAGCATTTTTGATTGGCCAGCGCAGGATTGCCCAGCACACTGACCCAAGTGGGGGGGGGGGTGTTCTCTGAATGGCAGTGGTGCCAGGTGAGCCCCCTATGGTCAGCGTGCAGTGTGGGGCAGCTGCTCAGCAAATGACCTGGAATATTATGGCGATTACTGTAGTGGCACTAACTACTACACTGATTGCCAGCTTGCCCACTGATCCCACAGGTATGGAATATTGTGCCAAGCTGGACCAATGTAATAAAGACAGGGCTGACTCAATAGCATCATGGGCCCCTGGACAAAGTAATGCACTGGGGCCCCTACTTACCTGCCCCAATATACGCACCTACGCTCAAGAATTAAAAGTATAAATAGTTGATAGAATCAAACATATTTTTTAGTACTTTCAATCAAATTGATTTTAAACAATAAAAAAAGCATACAGTAAAACAAAGACTAAACAACACAAAGGGCACATCACTGGAGGAGGCAGAAGAAGTCAAAGACACAGTACAGGTTCTGGGATGCTGCCAGGGCCATCCCAGGGCAGTTTAGTAAAATGCATGACTGTCCCAGCAAATCCGGGACAGCAGGCAAGTATGATGTAATGTAAGATGCATGCCCATGCATTAAGACAGCCCTGAATAAAGATCATACCCAGAGCACAGCTTTATTATAGTGTCACTAAACCCGCATCATAAAACAACTATCAATAAATACTTTATTACCTGCTGTTCATACTCAATCACTATGAGATTCATTTTCTGTATTCTGCAAAAAAACCTGGTTGATCCTGAGTTCACAAACTATGGGATACATCTGAAAATTGATCAATCCTGAAGTACTGACAACCAATCTAATTTCTTGAGGCCCAAAAAAGTCAGAACAGTACAGATATCCCCCAAATGACCCCTTTTTGCAAAGTAGACAGTCCAACGTATTTCATAAGAGGCATGGTGAGTTTTTTGAAGTTGTAATTTTTTGTCATAATTTTTTGGAAAATGAAGATATTAAAAAAATTATTTTCACAATTTTTTTTATATACTGTCACCAGTACAGTACAGCGTCATCATATAACTGGTGTTGCGGTGATTAGGGAAACTGACAGTACGAAAGAAAAAAATTGATAATTTTTTTTTATATTTTTATTACATTTTTCAAGATTTTTACACTATGACCAAAGTAGTATAATGTTACCATTGTAACATTGTACTACTTTGGGGAAGTGATCAGTATTTTTTTTTTATTACACAATTTGATTGCTTATAGCGAAGAATTTCTTTGCTATAAGCAAGCATTTAACTGAATGAAATTGATTCATTCAGGTTTTTTTTGTTGTGATTAGCTGTGATTGGCCACGGCTAATCACTTGACACAGATGGGTTGTGATTGACCCAGCCTGTGCAAGTGATCACTGGGACCATTCACAGCTAAACACACTTGTATACAATGGATGGCATGAAAGGAAGCCATCCATTGTATACAACTGTCATGTGACCTGCTGTGATTGGTCAGTTTATGAGGATAAGAAGGAATTGTAGCCAAAGAGAAGATTAAAACGAACAATCACCAAAATTGATAAACAGGTTTCTAGAGAAGGGGTACAAGAAAGTTGAATTAGTCAAAATTAAAAACCAGGTTGGTAATATGGGAAGAACTATTATGTTCCAGATCCAAAAAGGACTAAGCAATGGACTTGGCATTTATTACAGGTTACAATTTGGAGTACAGAGAATTAGAAAAGATTAAGAAAAATTGGCCTATCTTATTAAGAGATCAATCACTCAAACAAATTCTACCACATAAACCAAGGTCCATCTATAAAAAGGCACTGGGTCTTAGACATATAAATTTTCAAGAATTTGGTGGAACCTCCTACTAGGCCCCCCCACCTTCTTGGATGCCACAGGTTCCTTCAAGTGTGGAAGATGTGTGGCTTGTAGAACAGTAAAGGATAAGACCAAAAGGTATGTTAGGTTTACATCTCAGGTTGCAGGAATAACTCATCCTATCAAGAAGTTTATTACATGTGATTCTAGATATGTGACATATCTGTTAACCTGTCCATGTAAACTGCAATACTTAGGCAGAACAACTAGAAAATTATCCACACGCATATGGGAACACATTAAAAACATTAAGAATGGGTACAAACAACATAGTGTCTCCAATCATTTCCGACTTAAAACACAATAAAGACCCCAGCCCACTTCAGTTCTGGGGAATCGATAGAGTCTCTAGACACTGGAGGGGCACAAATATGGGGTTACAAGTATCACAGATGGAAACCCAATGGACCCATAGGCTGCAAACTCTGGATTCAAAGGGATTAAACCGGGATATTGATTTAAACTGTTTTCTCACAAATTATTGAGCATCAATCTTCCCACATTTGAGAAACAGGTTGGTCACCTACCCCAACCTACATGGTATAGTTGATAAAACCATAGGAGCTTTGGAGTTTGGAGGATCCCACATTTCAGGTGTAGTGCGGGATGAAGGCGATTCCCACAGCTTTTTTGAGGGATGCCGTCGTCCCTAGTGACTACTTGGGATTTTGGGCATAGTTAAATTTCCGCGTGGACAAAGGATACAGACATTACTTAATTTAAATCAGGTACCTTTAATTGAACCCCCTACCGGGGGATGGTAGGTATATTTAAATTAAGTTTTGAAAAAAGGGTATACACATTTTAATTCCTGTGATGCGTTTTATCTAGAGATGGATTATATTATGTTTTTAGCGAATGGACCATTAGGGACTGTATGTTCTCTTCACTAACATAGTTCTTCCCCCTAAATAATAATTAATAAAAATTACTTAATATAAGATTTTCATTAATAGTTCAACTAGGAGATTTATGTAGCCTCTGGTGGGATAATTAGTCCTTGGAAGAGTGTTTATTGGTTTTGATGGCTTTTGTAAAGGTAGTGGGAATATACAGTAATACCTTTGTTTACGAATTTAAATTGTTCTGCAGGACTTTTCGTATAGCGAAAAAATCTGTATACTGAAACGCCGTTTCCCATAGGAATGCATTGAAAACCAATTAATCCATTCCTGAGATCAGAAAAAAGTAAACACTGCTAAAATACCACATGAGTTATTTTATCAAGTCTTGCAGTAATTTAGTAGTGACAACCATGTGGGTTCTTCACTGACAACTGAATGTAAACGAATTGCCGGCGAATAAAAAAATAATTTTAAAAAATGGCGTGGGGTCCCCCCTCCCATCCATACCAAGCACTTCGGGTCTGGTATGGATTTTGAAGGGGAACTCCCACGCCAAAATAAAAAAAAAAAAAAAGATGGCGTGGGGGTACCCCCCAAAATCCCTACCAGACCCTTATCCAAGCATGCAGCCTGGCGGGTCAAGAAAGGGGGGGGCGAGCGAGCGCCCCCTTCCTGAACCCTTGAACCATACCAGGCCACATGCCCTCAACATGGGGGGGTGCTTTGGGGCAGGGGGGGGCTCCCCCCCAAAGCACCTTGTCCCCATGTTGATGGGGACAAGGGCCTCTTCCCCACAACCCTGACTGGTGGTTGTGGGGGTCTGTGGGCAGGGGGCTTATTGGAATCTGGAAGCTCCCTTTAACAAATCAATGATGTCACATGGGGTGGGGTCACTCGGGTGATGTCCCCGGGTGGCCGCACCCCTTACATATTTAAGAACTGTCAAATTACTGGAGCAGGCAGAAGGCTGGCAGCCATCATTGGAAGTGGAGCCTTTTTTTAAATTCTTTTTGCGGGTTGGCGGCGGCAGCGGTGGAGACGGCAGGCATCGTGATTGACATTGAATCTACTGCGGGGGACATTCTTTTAGTTTTTTCTTTTAATAAAGGACTTCTCAAAGACTGTGTCCTGTTTTTTTTTTTTTACACTACACTTTTTGTAGTTTTGTGAATGAGTAGGGGTACCATGTACCCCATACTCATTCAAACATACTCATTCACATGGGCAGGGGCCGGGATCTGGGGGACCCCTTGTTAAAAGGGGCTTCCAGATTCCGATAAGCCCCCTGCCCACAGACCCCCACAACCACCGGCCAGGATTGTGGGGAAGAGGCCCTTATCCCCATCAACATGGTGACAAGGTGCTTTGGGGGGGGAGCACCCCTGCCCCAATGCACCCCATGTTGAGGGCATGTGGCCTGGTATGGTTCAGCCTGCTGGGCTGCATGCTCAGATAAGGGTCTAGTATGGGACCCCCATGCCATTTGTTTTTACATTTTGGCGTGGGAGTTCCCCTCAAAATCCATACCATACCCAAAGGGCTTGGTATGGATGGGAGGGGGGACCCCACACTGTTTTCTTATTTATTGTGGTATCGTTTTTTAAATGTAATTACCGCTTTTTTTTTTCTTCACTATAGCTCAGAAATTCAGCTGTCTCTTTCCCCCCAGCTAAAAGAGAAAGTTTAATTTTAGTGCATTTCCCTGAGTTAAGACAAAAACTGTTTCCTTTTAATTTCCTAAAAGAAACAAAGTTTCTGTTAACTCCGGGGGGGGGGGGGGGGGGGGGAAGTGACAGTTAATTTTGTGAGCTATAGGGAAGAAAAAAAAAAAAAAAGCTGGCAATTGCATTTAAAAATCAACACTGACATACACTTTGTATTGTGAAAAAAAAATGTGTAAAAAATTTCTAAACCGAGGCATTATTTTCAATGGATTTTTATTCGTAAACCGAAATTACGTTAACCGAGGCGTTTGTAAATCGAGGTATTACTGTAGTACCCACTTTTAGGTGTATTATAATTTTACGGTCTGATATAGAGGCATGTGGTGATACTAGCCTCGTAAGTATATGCACATTTCATTGTTTATATGTAGCGCCTGTCTATTTATATTACACATTTTATATAGGGGTGGTTATCCACTTTATTAGGGGACGCTTCATACTACACATTTATTATTTTTCCACTTGGCGCCTTAAATAATAATTTTTAATTCATTCACGTCATTTTACTATAGGCTGGGTGGGAAGTGGTTAACATGCTGCACTTAGAAGGTGCTGCTTCTGTTCCTTTAATCTTCCCACAGAGTTTCTTCTAGCTCTTCCTCAGCTGGCAGCCTCAAGTAAAGCAGTGTCTATGGACTTATACTCAATTTTCCTACATGAGCGTTCATACAAGGACACTTCTTACAATAATTAAGGACTCATTTATATTCCTTAGCCTTGTCAATTACCCATTACCAGGTCAATTCCATCCTTTCCCCAAAATGCGCCCAAATATTTGGTATTACCACTGTCATTATAAACTGCTAAATACCTTTTCTCATCAGCAGTATATGATAGACTTGTGACTTCTATCAGTATCCAGCAGAGCACTTGTTAAAGCATGTAGGAGGAGTTTTCATCCCCCCCTATTGTCCTATGAGGCTGCATAACCCCTGACCTTCGTCTGGACGATGCTGATTGGCCCTGTGCTGATCACATGCACTCTCCCAAGAAAAAAAGCCTCTCTAGCAATACACACCAAACTGAGCTTGTGCAGTTTGCCCCCAAGACTCTGTTCTGTCAGAAGATGGACTGGGGACAGTAGAAGGGGGGGGGGTCAGAGAAGACAGGATCAAACATAACTTTGCACAATGCGGAGGATTAGCCCCTTAGGTTCCACAGTGAGTATAACAAGCATGCTTTACTGCATACCCCCCCCCCCCCCCCCCCCCCCCCCCCCCCCCCCCCCCCCCCCCCCCCCCCCCCCCCCCCCCCCCCCCCACCCCCCCCCCCCCCCCCCCCCCCCCCCCCCCCCCCCCCCCCCCCCCCCCCCCCCCCCCCCCCCCCCCCCCCCCCCCCCCCCCCCCCCCCCCCCCCCCCCCCCCCCCCCCCCCCCCCCCCCCCCCCCCCCCCCCCCCCCCCCCCCCCCCCCCCCCCCCCCCCCCCTACAGACTGATTTTACTGTTGTGGGTTTAGTAACACTTTTATACTCTATTCAATCCAAAATGAGACAACTTTGTGTTGGTTTTAGTGGCACTTTGTATGTTTCTTTCCTGATCCCTTACCAGTCCGCCTTCTTCAGACAGTCCACCTGGGCCCCCTTCTCCAGAAGGTATAGGAGGCAGTCTCTGTGGCCCATAGATGCAGCCTCATGGACAGCTCTCTTGTAGTCTCCATTCACTAGCTCTACATCCATACCCACAGCCTCCAGCAGGTAAGTCACTATAGGAAGGTGTCCATGCCTGGCAGCATAATGTAACAACGTATCCCCGGATCTCCCGAAGTGTTTCCGGGGAATCTCACTGAGTAGGGTCGCATCTGTCCACAGATCCTGGAGCTGACAAAGCCGGCCATCCTGGACGAGTCTGACGATGTGTCTGTAGCGATCCTCCTGGGACATGGCCGATCAGGACCAGACTCATTCAGCCCATGTCACGGGAACTGCATAGACATGTCATCGGATGGGTGCCACTCCCCGCACACCTGTCCTCTGCAGATCACTACAGATTTGCTCCCACATAGACACCGATCACTCAACACATACAGCGACTTTCCACTAGATGACAACGCCACGTGACTCTCAGAGCTGTCACACTGCGGACTGCAGGCTTCCCTGTCCGAGCCAACCAGAGAAACGCAACTTCCCCATCCGATCCAATCATAAACTCAGCCACACAAACCACGCCCATTCACGGGCGGAGCCGAATTCCTTGGAACGCAATCTTTGCCGTATGAGCACGTACAGGATGGGCGTCCGTGTAAATGTGGGAGGGTTTGATTGGGCGGAGTCAGTGCTCGCTGATGGTGATTGGACGATGGCGTGCCGGATCTGCGAGGCATATGGCAGGACTGTAGTGAGCGGAACTGCGAATGGATCGCTGAACAAAGTAGGAGCGATCGGAGGGGCGGCAAATACTGTGCACCCCTCTGTATAGATGTACCCTATAAGACACGTGACTGGGGGGGTCGGCTTCTTTCACTGTCACTTTCGGGGTTTAAAGTGACGACTTCCTGTTCGAGCAGTGAGGGGCGGGGGGCACAGCATTGTTTATCATGGCATTTATAGTCTATATGCCTTGAAGGTGACCATACACTATGCAATTTGATTGGACAATCTGCCATCAACTATGATTGGATGCAAAGTGAAAGTAATGTTTAGGTTTGTCCTCCATGATTTTGGTAAATCTAAAGGGGATTGTATAGTCAGATTGTATAGTGTATAGGCAGCTTTCGATGGGCATGCTAGGACAATAAGGGGTGAGATATCTGTACCGTGCACCTCCTGAGGCCCGGACTCCGCTAATCCATGGATGATGTGTTGCCAGCTTGCCAATGCAAAGCTCCGACTGGTCACAGGCACTTCCATCTTCGCTTGGTCTTCTTTCCTTTCTGTTTTTGGTCTTCTTCCCAGGTTCGCTCTGTGTAGGCACTTGAAGGGTCAGGACGCGATGACGTCACTCCCGCACATGCGAGTCACTTTGTAACGGCACAGAGTGGTACCATAAATGTACTTTGAGCTGCACATGCATGGCTCTGTGTGCATCTACTGCTGGCAGGTAGGAAGAAGCATTAATGACAGAAAAGACTAGGATCTCTTCTGTTATCAAAACTTTACCTGTCAGCCTTTCAAAGTTCGAGTTTAATTCTGCTTTAACCACTTGCCCTCCAGAGGATTTAACCCCCTTCCTAATCAGACCATTTTTTGCGCTGTGTTATTTTAACTGACAATTGTGCGGTCCTGCAACACTGCACCCAAATGAAATTGATGTCCTCCCCCCAATAGAGCTTTCTTTCGGTGGTATTTGATCGCCTGTGCGGTTTTTATTTTGTGCGCTATAAAAAAAGACTGACCATTTTGAGAAAAAAAACTTTCATTTTTTTTGCTATTAAACATGTCGAGTAAAAATATTAAAAAAATCTAATTTCGTCATAGATCAGGGATATTGAATTTATATCACCCGACATTCGAGACATGTAGTTCTGGGCGCCTCCTTTTTTTTTTTTTTTTTTTTTTATCCTTCAGCCCTGTTGCAGGCAAGCAGCAGGGCTCACCTGTCAGGTGGAAGCATTCGCTGCCGCCGATTGCTTTCACACAGTGCCAGCCGCTCCCCCCCCCCTGCTTGCACCGCCCACTGTCTCCCAGGCTCCACTTGCCCATCTGCGGGCCCGGGACCTGCTCACTGCCGTCGGTTAGAGGCAGTGGTGTATTTAGGTTTTGTGCTGCCCTAGGCAACACAAAAATTGGTGCCCCTCCCGCAGAAAGAGCCTGACATTGACCAACAACACCCTTGACTCCCACCAGAGAGAGTCTTCCACTACCACTGCCCCCATACACCAGCCACCATCCCCCATGGTGAGAGAGAGAGAGACACTCACCTTCACAGCTCTTGACATCCACGGGAACGAGAGTCAGGCTGTGCATACACCATCATGAAACCCACAACCTCTCTCGGAACCCACCAGGTTCCCATGCATGTGTCCCTTCCAAGGGGCAGTGCTGCCCCCCTTGAAAAAAATGCCGCCCTAGGCAGATGCCTTGTTTGCCTTGTGGTAAATACACCCCTGGTTAGAGGGGAGGGAGGAGACGGACTCCTCTGCTCCCCTCCCCTTCGTGTCCTGACCCGAAAGTGACGTTCTGATGTTCCCAGTCAAAGATTTTTGGCCATCGAGGCTGGGAAAGAATGTAATGCAGTGCGATGTGCACTGCATTACATTCAAGGGAGGCATCCAGGGTGTTTTTAGACCCTGCATGTCTCAATAAAGAGAACCTGTCATCAAAAATCATCACCTAGGGGACTTTGTCCCTTATGTGATAAAAACATTTTTTTTATTGTAAAACATCAAAGTTACACCCAAGCACATAACATCCTGCCCCCCCCCCCCCCCCCCCCCCCCCCCCCCATATATACACACGTACAAACTTAACAGCACATACCGGGCCGCCTACAAATGAAAACATCAATTGCAATACACATGTTGCATATTGCCTCGCACGCCAGAATTAGAGCAATAATTCTAGCACCAGACCTCCTCCATAACATGACCTATAAGGGACTTTAAAAGTGTTGCATAGAAAATACGGAGTACTGAAGTTCATCACCATTTCACAAGCGCACACAAATTTATGGTTTGATGTGTTGGGTATCTATCTACTCGGTGCAACCTCGTCTTTTATATTTTACAAAAAATAGGGTAATTTATGGCTTTTTTTGTGCCCTAAAATAACTTGTATTTTGTGGTAATATAATTCGACATAAAAAATTGGAGCTACCACTATTTTATTCTCTAGGGTGTCTGCATTCAGAAAATATATAATGTTTGGGGGGTTTGTGTGATCTTCAGGCCTAAAATGATTTTTTAAATGTGTGCAAAAAGGGCTCTGGCAGCGAAAAGGGATAAAGGATAAGCCGGACACTCCCCTTTCTTGACAAGTTCCCAATCGGTGCTCATTACACTGAAAGGTCTCTCCCCTCCCTGCTAGTCCCCGAGTGCTGTGCTAGAGACAGGCAGGGAGGGGAGGAGATAAACAGCGCAATGTTAAAATTACACGTTTAACTCAACATAAAGCCCCTTTTGATTTTAAAAGCCCCAGATATTCCTAAAATCACCTCTGATTTAAATACGGTTTGTTTTGAAATTTATTTCTTTTGATCTGGACAAGTATATTGTCATGAGGGACAAGTAGATTGGAGCACCGATTTAGTCCCTGGACAAGTAGTTTTTTCAAAAATTTCCACACTCCTGTAAATTTAGGCCAAAATGTATTCTGCGACATGTCTTTGCTAAAAAAAATCACAATACGTGTAAATTAATTGGTTTACGTGAGAGTTAGAGTGTTTACAAATGCCAGTATATATATTAGAATTTTGTTTTCTTTTTTTACTAGTAATGGCGGCGATCAGCGACTTATAGCTGGACTGCAGCGGGTATTCTGACACTGGGGGGAACTGACTTGGTGTCACTGACATCCTCAGTGACACCAATACAGTGATCAGTTCTAATAAAAAGCACTGACACTGTACTAATGGCACTGGGCAGGAAGGGATTAACGTGGGGTGATCAAAGGGTTAACTGTGTGCTGTTTTATTGTGTGCTGTGTTAGTGCTTTCAACTGTAAGCACACTGCTTTGTATGGCTCTCCTATGCACAGCCATACAAAGTAGTGTGCAGGAGCTGACAGGGGAGAGAACTGTATTGTTTACATAAAGTTCTCTCCCTCTGTCGGTAATGCTTGGTGATTACCGGGTGCCAGCGAATAATCACCAGCCGGGACCTGGTGATTAACAGCTGAGGCCACGAATAGCGACACGGGTAGGGCGCACGCGCGCCCTTTACCCGGAAATGTGAAATCACGTATATATACGTGATTTTGCACACCCCTGCTGCCCTGTAGCAGTATATCTGCTATAGGTTGGCAGGAAAGCGGTTAAAGGAAAAAAGTTGCAAGAAAAAAATGTATGTTTAATATTTTATTTTACACAAGTGGTTGTAAATGCTCAAGGTTTTTTTTTTTTTTTTTAACCTTTATGTATTCCATGCATGACGGTAAAAAATCTTCTGTGTGCAGCTCCCCCCAGCCCCCCTAATACTTACCTGAGCCCCATCATGATCCAACAATGTACACGAGAGCTTCAGCTCTCTGGGGACCCTCCCTCTTCATTGGCTGAGACAGCAGTGGGAACCATTGGCTCCCACTGCTGTTAATCACAACCAGTGAGCCAATGAGGAGAGAGAAGGGGTGGGGCCAACCTGCTGCTCTGTGTGTGAATGGACATGCAGCAGTGGTTCAGGAGTGAACCTGCTTGGGTGCCCCCATAGCAAGCTGCTTGCTCTGGGGGCATTTGGCAAGAGGGAGAGGCCAGAAGCACCAGCGGGGACCTGAAAAGTGGAGGATCGGGCTATTCTGTGCAAAAACATTGCACAGAGCAGGTAAGTATAACATGTTTGTTATTTTTAAAAAAATTGCCTTTTAATATCAGTTTATTTTTGCAAGCAGTGGATCGTAGGTGCAGACTTTTCATCCACTTCCCTGTCCATACCGAAGGACAGACTTTAAAGTGTAACTAGAGGCAAAACCTTTTTTTTTTTTCCAGTTTGGATAGAGTAAGGGAGGGTTATAACCCCCAAAAGTGTTTTGTTTTTTTGCCATCTGTGTCCCATTGGGGAGATTTCCCTTCACTTCCTGTCTCATAGCCAAAACAGAAAGTGAAGGGAAATCTCTGCAAATTAAGGCAGGCCATAGGCAGACCATTTATCGGCCAAATTTTCAGCCAATAAACGAAAAATCGGTCGGCGCTGTTGCCGATGCTGCCACCAATGTCCACGAAAAACAGCCGTTTTTCATGGATTTTCCAGCATGACCAATAAAAATAAATAAGGAGATCCGCGAAAAACGGCTGA